TATGGGTGAAGATAAACGCTGTTGAGTGTTTCAGTTTAAGTTTTATTCATCGTAGGGGCTGCTGGCCGGTCTCTGTCACTCAGAGTGAGCCTAGATCTCAAAGGGCTGGTTGCTCAGAGTCAGGTTTCCAAGCCTGAGCCAACGTGACTGCACTGTGTTGGGTTGTCATGTTAACTTACCGGTTCAGGTAAGCGTTGACTTGTTAACCCAAACCTTGCTTTGTCCCGCAATATGGATGTGTTAAAAAACTGCACAGGGATAACGATGGGTGAGATTAAATGCTTGTTTATATCTAATTCACTGGTAAATGTAATTCATGGGAAAAAGGAAATATTGGAAGTAAAAGCATCAGTGAAATTTGTAGCACAAGGCATATGAGTCAAACTGTAATACGCTTTTGGTTTCTGTCCATGGTAAAATATCTAGGGGTTTATCAAGCCTTGAAATTCTCTAAAATGAATTTTTTTTCATACTGTTGCAATAACGTAGACTGAAACTTGTTTACAAGGTGTACTAGGTGTAGTGATCTTTTTAATCTAACTACTGTGGATTAGGAGCATTTTTTTTAAAAAAAGTAGTAGATTGCAGTACTGATAAACATCCTATAAAATCATGAATGTTATAGCAGTGCTTTTACCTAAAATATTTCATTTCAGGTCTGTAAAAGTCAATTGGACTCGTGTTAGAAAGATGGCTGTGAAAGATGGCAGCACATACAGAATACAAATATAATCACTTTAAACAATGTTTTTAACGTTAATATTGTCTCCAAGTAGGCTTATTCATAAACTTTAAGGAAAATGTACTTAGAACATAGGATTTATTTGCCTTGGGGGGGAAAATCCCCCCAAATTTCAAGTATTTGTTTAGAATATTGTCATTTACTAATACTTACTTTAATTTGTAAATAGATTGCAAGGGCTGATCAGTGTCAGTGGCCTTTCCTGAACTCTTAAGACATGCAGCTTCTGTGCAGCTGCTGGGTACTTTAATAACTCTTGAAATTGTGTCAGAGCATTGTGACACTTCATACCTGTCTTGCAGCAGAGATTATTCAGCAGCATTAAGTAAAGTGAAAGTGAAATTCAGAGGTAGAAGTTTAGTGTTCTGTAGACTACCTTCAGTGTAGAGAGTTGTCTTCCTTTCACACCATCGGCTACTTGAATTTTTCTGTCTTGCATATCTGAGTGCCAGTCTGCTCTAATTAGATGAGACTGCAGTGTTAGAGTGAGTACAGAATTGTCTTCAGTGTTGTCATCAGGACAACTTGGGTTCCCTCAAATACACACAGACAAGTTTTTTTAGACTGCAGTTTTGAACAGAAGTGCAACTTACTGTTCCTTAATTTTTGTGTATATCAGTGGGCTGTTTTATAATTTATAATCAATACTTAAGTGTTCTTTTTTCTTTTACAAAACATAATGACAAGCAAAAACCTGTTTCTGGAAAAAGTCTCACTTGGCTAAATTGCTAATTTTTGAGGCAATGCCTGGATATCAGGAAGAGGGGATCATTTGACAAGGAATTTGGTTCTGGATTTCCAAAGATTACTTTTGCTTGATATGTTGATATTTCAGCTTTACACTAAAGTATTTGCTTCTGATGTAGTGTGGTTAGATAAAGTAGAATGGTCACTGAGCAAAATTCTTATTCCTGAACACAGAAGGCACCATGTGTAACGTTAAACTTCGTCTGAACACCATATTCTGTGTGAAGTTTTAGTCTGTCTTTCTCTGTAAGAAAGACCATTTTTGAAGTGCATCTCTTCCTGAAGCAAGCACTTTGTGCATTTCAGCTTTGTTTCTCTTGGGGATTAACAACTTGTGTTTAATGAGTCTTGTGTGCTGTGCCACCAGCTACGAGAAGCTGAATGTTAGGGTTTGCTCAGGAAGACTTTTGGTAGTGCTCCAGATCGTAATGTAGTTATCCAAGTGTCTTTCTTGCTTCTGAAAGAAGTCGTGATGTGTTATGATAATGGCAAAATAATTTGTTCTTTCTCATGACCGTGGCTCTTAATGTTATTTTTCTTTGACTAGACCATGACAAAATGTTTAAGATGAGTGAAAAGATCTTACTGCTGTGTGTTGGGGAAGCTGGAGACACTGTACAGTTTGCAGAATACATCCAGAAAAATGTTCAGCTCTACAAAATGAGAAATGGTGAGTGAAGTGGAACAGTTACTGAGGGTTTGGAAGCAGAGTTAGTGACAGGTATAGTTTACAGTTGAACGTTGATGGAAAGTGCTGTTCTCAAAGCTTCTCTAGCTTTAAGGATTTCTGCATTTCTAGTGTCAAGCAAAGGTGGTAATGAAGGCAGGATGAAGAAATGGAGATTGGATTATATACTATAAACCAAGAGGTTTATCCAAAGCCTAGCTAACCTGTTTGTAATATAAATGACACAATAATAGGTTTGTTAGTAAAATATTTCTCTTAATATGTCCATTGCATGTCAACTGTTACCAGTTTTCCTGATACACCGGACTGAAAAATTCATGCTACATGCCCATAGTATTTTAATTTTTTCAAGCTATGTATTTTAATAGTCTATACAGATATGAGCTACCTGGATTTTGAGGGCCCTTTTTATGCTTGTAGCTTTCAGAATAAACTGGAATTAGACAAACGGCATAACATTTTGTCACTGAAGAGTATATTGTTGTTTCAAAATAGGAATGGAAAGTCAGGAAGTGAAATGTGAATATTGAGTTCTACTGTTATCAAATGCACACATTTCTTCTCCAGGTTATGAATTGTCTCCCACTGCAGCCGCGAATTTTACACGACGAAACTTAGCTGACTATCTTCGGAGTCGAGTGAGTAATAACTGAAAGATTTTGGCAAAGGATTACAGGGGAAAATTTCCATTTTTCAAGTAATGGGGTCTGATGAAAAAGGTGGCAGCTTCTGTCTTTAGTGATGAATTCACTTTGCTGAAAGGATCTTTTATTAAAATATAACTTGATTTGCGTATTTAAAAAACTTATCACATCACTTATCAATAACTGATACAACTATAGTCTTAAAATTCCAGCCTTGGGCCCAATAAACATTTTGTCACAAACACTGCAGATGGCGGAGTGAATTAAGCCTCTTTAACATCGAGATAAGGTTGTCAGTTTTCATGCAAATGCACTGAATCCGTTTAATCTTCTTGGAAAATGATTTAATAGAGCAGAGCTGTTTGATGTACTTAGCAAAACAAGTCCCTTTGTGTAAACAGCAACATGAGACTTTCAGTAAATATCAAATCCAAGTTGGAGCTGTATTTTCAAGTTACTAAACTGCAATTGCTGATTTTTCTCTTGGTAATTTTTTCAAAGTACAAAAAGATGTCATGAAGGGGCAAATGGACTTTTAAAGATCCAAGGTTAGGAAGCATTTCATTAGCATTCTTCTCAACATGCTATACGAAAGAAAACATGAAGAAGTAAGATGTTGAGAATGAAGCTGAACAACTCTGTCACAGATAGGGCGTGGGATAAAGTGTGTTCCTATTCTAACAGTATACTTCACAGGGCTGAAATGATGTTTTATGGTAGCAAATAAAGGCCAGTATTGACATCAGAACTGTATTGTTGAGAATTACATGTGTGTGGAGTGAAGCCTGGACCTTTCTTCAAGAACTCATCTGCGGGAACAACCCGAGATCATTGTTCTCTTTTCTGACATGAATGACAGCTGAAGGTAGCAAATTTTCAAGTTACTAAAGTCAGAGCGAGTCAGTAGAACTCAATGCATGGTCCTGCTTGAGTCTCATACATAAAACGGTACTCTTCTGCTTTAAATGACTTCAGCCAACTACCTGGATTAAGCATGGTTGGTAGATGATGTTTGGCAGTGATGCTGCTTGCTTTAGCTTTTGTTCAGATGTGATTTGGAAGGTCTGTGTGTGTTTTGTGGAACTCCGCAGTTTTTGAGGTTGATGTGAAGGAGTAATGCTGCTTGGTGCCTGGCCCAGGTGGCTGCCAGCTGCCTGGTGCTGGTGGCTCGTCTCAGGGGCATCTAACCTGCATGGACGGTGTAGGTGAGGCTGACACTGAATGTCCTGCCCATTTAAGCAGAGGCAGCTATTTCTTACATATGATTTAAAGTACTTCTAGTGGGAGTAATTTAACAGGCTTTTTGGTAAACTTGGCCAGCAGGATGTGGCATTGACGTGGCACTGTTGTCTTCCTCTGTGCTGTGTCCCTTGAGGCCTGATCCTCCCTGTGTCTGCCTTCATGAGCCCACGCCTGTCTTCCAGCTCACCTGCTCCAGATGGGCAGCACAGTGGGGAGGACACTGGCAAAGGCAGATGTGTTTATTTACCAGAGACAAAACGTTGTTCTGTTGCAGATGGCAATGCCGTGGAGCAAGTGGCGTGCTCTGACACCACTGTCACACTACAGTGATCTCTATACTGTAGGGAGAACTCTTTCTTTAAGCATAGCACTTAATGATTTGTTTGTGAGATTTAGGATTTGATGATACAAACCTTACCATCAGAATTTTTTTCCCATGAATTTTGTTACATTTTCATCATAATTTGTGGGGTACCAGGAGGATTAACACTAGCTCTCTGTATCTATTTAAATTGCATGTAGGATTCCTGGAGGCTACTAATTCAATTATGTGGATAATAACAAATGAAAAGGTAGAACATGCCACCGCCTCCTGTTAGGAGTGGAAAAATAATTTAGAAGTAAGAAGTTTGGTAGGGGAAAAGGTATTTGTTGCTATATTGCCACTCACCCTGTGAAGCCGTTTCTGCTACGGAAGGCTAGAAGGTATGTGAAGGGGAGTGGCTAATGCTGAGACAGTGCTTTTTCAGGCATTATAGCATTGTCGTGGCCCAGCCTAAAATAGAGCTTGTTCTGCATTGTCAATCACCATCTGGGTTTCTCGCTGTGCTACCTAGTTTGATTTCATTTAAGAACCTTGCGGCTCATGTTGTCCAAGTTGCTGGTATCTTGGGGACGGCTGTCTTGTAAGGCAGTGCCTTGAAGTTGTTCTTTTGGTGGAAAGTATCAAGTATAATAACACCGGGCTTGTAACTTAAGGCCGTTACATTACTTTGCTCTTTTTTTTTACTGAATAGTCAACATGCAGTTTTTCATGACATTTCTCTTTTTTAAACATGGGGTTTATGCTCCAGAGTAGGATCTGAAAAGAATCTTTGATTTCCATTTATATGTTGCAATTGAGGCAAATCTAGAAACTACTTTGGAGCCAACTGGCTTTCGCATAGGTGAGTGGTGCTGTAGTTCCTCTTCCGCTGTTACCACTCCAGCATCTCATTTGATTCACCTGCTAAATCAAGTGCTGGGTTTAGTACATTTAATATACTACTGAGGTTGTGTGGTGGCAGGGAAGATGAGGGGGGAAAAAAACCCCTACCCCTCCAAACGTGATGGAGTTTGGTTTCTTGTTGTGATGCTATGTTTAATTATAGGTGACAGGGTCTGGCCTGAGTCCAAAGGAAGACTGTCAGTTCCTCTCTCCTTGTCCACGCTTGGCAGGATACTTCCTCACGCCCACCTTTCCACCTTTCCCCCCTTGCTGTGACTTTGGCTTCCGCCAGATGTCACACCGCTGCCTGTCACCGCCCCGCCTCCCGCTGCTGATCTTGTTGTTTTAGTCTATTTATCACAACTGTTCTCTTCAGCTGTAAATTCTGAAGAATTTCACACATCTCTTAATTGCTGTAGTTATTTTAAATCAAACAGCATAAAGTGCAAAGCTACTTGGGAGGAGAAGTATTGCCTTTAATAGGAAGGTAAGTTGAGGCGGGGATCTAATCTATCTTGGAGTGTCAGTCATCCACTCATTTGGTAGCCCTTTAATCACACCAGCCTTTAAAAGAGTTTAGAACTGTTGGCATGGATTTACTTACAAAAGCCAAGGCTGCCTTTGGAATGGACAAAAGGATTGAGATGTACAAGGAATACCAGTCCCAGCAAAGAGATGATAGTCCCAGTAAGGCAGCACTAAGAGGTGCTGTCTGCAAATTTCATTTGTAATCATGGAAGTAGTAAATAGATTATGTGTATTTTTTTAATGTTGAAATCCTGTTTTTTCTTGAATAATAGGAAGGCATGGGGGACATTTCATTTACATTTGAGTTTTAAGAAGTTGTCTCATAGACCATTAGCAGGAGAACTTACAACTGAAAAAACAGCTTACAGATTTGTTTAAGTATGTATAATACCATTTATTTATGGTTGAGTATCTTGCATATGCCAATGTTAGTAATTCAAAGTCACACAATAATTTGAGTGATCTTGTGTCATGGCTCTTAAATATCAACTTGTGTGATGTTTCAGAATAAATAAATGATGAAATGCAGACTAATTAAACGAATACAGCTGCATGGTAACTTGTTTCCAAATATTCTGGAGTGCTTTGAAGATTAAATCACACAATTTACAGTGGTATGTTTGATATATAACTGTAGCCTGCTTCATTCTTTCTTACTATCTGGTGGAAGTAAAAATACAGTATCCTGTGATATTTTTTTTGAGTGCAAATTCACAGTACTTGTGAACCTTTTGAACAAAAAATGAACCTTTTTCCCATGATAAAGTTGTTTTGGCTTTAGGGTGAAATTGTGTTTGCTTGTTCTAGTCTATTGTTAACTGCATCATAATTTTTTTGTATTTTGTTGCTTTGTTGATCTAGGCTTTCCAGCATTTTAAGAGATATCCTGTTAGTATGATTAATTTAATAAGAAACCTTAAGTAGGTATGAAAATACTGGAAGTATATAAAAGCTGTTTTAAAGTGTACAATTCCAAAATTTTCTTCTGAGCCTACATTTGAAAATAATATGGTGCATGCATGTTTCATGATCTTATTAAGTACACATCTTGGAAGAAGATATATAGGGACATCTGCTTTATGCGTTATTATGGAACACACTAAATGTAAAACATGAAGGAAGCTGCTAATGAATTGCTAAACTTGCAAGTACAGCACAATAAAAAGACATGGTTACGTTAATGCAGTTACGTGGTCTTGTTGGATAAGATGTAGTTGTTTCTCAGTCATATTTCGTATGCTCTTGCTGAAGTCATAAACAGGAATCAGAGAAGACAGCTAAATTTCTACTTTAAGAAAACTGTTTCCAACCAAACAAAAAAGCTACTGCTCACACGATGTTGCAGTATCTTAGTAGTCAGTTTTGTGTAGAAATTAACCAGTTCCTTAGATCATCTTCATTCACTTGGTCGACTTAGCCCAATGTCAAAGATTAAACTTGGTACATGCAATAAAAATCTAACTGCCAATTAACAAGACAGTGTAACACTGTATATATGTGTTTGCACTGTATGTAAGCTTTCATATGTGCTAAAATGGTCTATGGTTAACAGCAGTGTGACTGAGAAAAGAGCATGCTAAATTAACAAAGAAGTTCTTATGAACTGCAAAATGTTCACATTGTGCTGACATGTTGACAGTAAAAATCCACAAGTTTTATGTTGAGATGAAAGAATCTGGTGTGAAAATATAATTAAAGTTTTTAAGTTGTAGTGTTAGGTTTACAGTTGGACTTGATCTTAAAGGTCTTTCCCAACCTAAATCATTCTATGATTTTATGAAAGCTTTAAAAAAAAAAAGCACTAGTTTTCAGGAGAATCAGAGTTTTATGTTTTTATTTGCTTATGCATTCCATATTACCAAAAGACCTAATTGTTTTTAGATTGAGTCCTATAATCTCTCACAGACAGTATTGATGTAGTTGCTAGCAGCATTTTATGGCAAAGAATTGTGAAACCAACTAGGTTGCTATTCTGTAGGTGGCATGGGGAATTAAGATTCAAAGATTTGGGTGTGGCTGCTTTAATGAAAACATCGTTTCTGTTTGCAGACCCCTTACCATGTCAACCTTCTCTTGGCTGGCTATGATGACCACGAAGGTCCTGCGCTTTATTATATGGATTACCTTGCGTCTCTGGCTAAAGCTCCTTTTGCAGCACATGGATATGGTGCATTCCTTACCCTCAGCATCCTTGACCGCTATTACAAACCAAGTAAGTGGGGTCTATGGAGAAGAAAATTCTCCTATTACTGATTAATAAATTAAATGCTTAAACTGAGAGATTGGCATTTACCGAGTCACATGGTCCAGCGCAATTGCTGTGGTGCTACAGATCTGAACTTGACTTTTTGTTAGAATAAATGTAGCTTTAAAGATTGCCTTCTGGTTTTGCTGAAATGGTAATGTGAAACTAGTCAATTCCTTAAAGTACTTTCCTGTTTGAAGCATAACAGACTGTAAGTGAAGGAAGTTTCAATTTATTCTAGAACATGACCAGAGTTTCCTGGACCATTAGCTACTAGTAGTCTGTTTCTAATAAATAACATTTTGATAACTTTATCTTCTACTTGCTTGTCTGCTGGCTATGACATGTACATTTTCCCAGAGTATCAATCTTCAGAGGGCAGTCCCAGATCCTGTTGCTCCATATCTTGGATTGGCTTTGTGTATGATGTATTAAAAACATAAAAGTGAAAAGATATTCCTAGCAAGATTATCTTCAGTACTCTGAAATGGTGGTGATGAAGACTGGTTGGCTTGGTTTACGGTTTTATGCACATGGTGGCTGTTGATCATAATTCTTGTACATGTCTGTACCTGTCTAAAGTTTTAATTTTAGAATCATAATCCAGTTCTTACACACTGCCAAAGAATAAACATGGCCCCATCCCCACTTTACAGATGAGGAAGTGTACAAAGCTTGGAATATTGTTAATCTGACATCTTTGGCTTTACCTACAAAACTACTTTACTCCTATGTGCAAAGCTGAGTTTAATCTCATGGCAGAGATGTTCGCTTAGTAATCCTTTCATCTATCTCCTGCAAGAAATGTAATTATAAACTGACAATTTTATTCTAATGGGACTTCTGCCTGAACAGTGGATGCAGGTCTGGAACAAACTCTAGAAACAAGTTTTGTGGTATCTACAGAGCTTAGTTGTTTTCTAGTCATGTCCCTTGAAAATTATACTGCTCCATTTTCACTGTTCCTTGTGAAAAGAGAAAAATAGTGAGCTACAATAGGTTGTCATGGCTTGTCATCCCTATAGAGTGCTGGATTTTTTCCTAATGTGTGAGAATAGCAGGGGCATCACACACGTGCCTTTCCCATTATTAAAACTAATACCCAGCAGGGAATGTAGCACTAAAACCAATCTCCGCCTACTGTCACTGACTTGCAGCCGGCTGTGGACAGATGGAGCTGATTTAAAACTGTAATAAACTCTGAGAGAGAGAGACGGCTGGACTTCTCCGAAGCCCAGTCCCTGGCCATGGGAGGCAAAATTCCGTCATGCTTCCCATTCAGTGTAACAAATCGATTCTCAATGGCTTGTTGCAGTGTGAGCGCTTTGGTGCAGGGCATGCTCAGTACATCTGGAAAGTGTTTTCTGTGAGCTGGGAAGGAGAGTTTTTGGTGCTCAGCTGAAAAGTTGTTTAAATTTAATAAAGTTTCTGTTGAGAGAGATGGCCTCTAATTAAATCAATCTGTGGATGTGTTCTCTTTCAGGTATCACACGTGAGGAAGCTGTGGAGCTCCTAAAAAAATGTCTAGAGGAGGTGAGTTGCCAAACTTAGGCCCATATGATCTTGAGAAAGGAATGTTTGTTTGCATTCATTTGCTGATATTTTCCTGTTCCTCTTGTCGCATTTTTTTGCTGCCTATGCCAGAAGGGGTAATAAATGCACATTGACCAGATGTGGAATCGCTACTGAGGAAAAGGATTTGTGGGCACTTGCATTGTCTTAGCACGGTTCATGTCCTCCAGAACATAAACTTGAAGCTTGCTTTTCTTTACTTCTGCTTCTTCCATGCTTAGCATAATATTGATACAGGCAATCTTTAAATTTTTCCTTTTATGTTTCTTTTGAATGTAATGCAAGCATCCTTCTGTTACTTGTATTACACTTCACTAGTACAGACTTCTAAGTGTACTTCTCTTCCAACTTGTGAAGTGATATCTAACTAAGGTAAAGATTTGACCTTAAAGTTCATCATCAATTTTTGCATAAACATAATCTTTCAGACTCTAAGGCTTTTATTGTAGGAAAATGTTCTTTATCCTTGTTTTTAAGAGATTGAATTGAATGTAACTGGGAACAAACATCTGGGGAAACATCAGGAAATAGTACTCTGAAGAGGTTCTGTTTGAAGTATCTTTTGATACATACACTTTGTGCCCTAAGTTGTAGCTCACTCTAGTCTTCCTGCTTGAATGTCTTCCTTGTTAGCAGGCTTGTGTTTTGCGTCTCCAGCCTAGGCTTGTCTAACGTGGATAGTGTTACAACGGAACAAACTCACACTAGTTGATTCCAGAGCAGTGAAAAAACCACTCTGGTTCCTAATACTTCGTGTCACTAGAACCAGGATGGAAATTTTGATGTGCAGCAGCATACCCCTTGAATTATTCTCTCCTCTTCTATTTAAGCTTTGAATTAATCTCATCTCTTTTGTCTTTTTGTCTTTTGTTGAACAGCTTCAGAAGCGCTTCATCCTAAATCTGACTTCTTTCAATGCCCGGTTCATTGACAAAGATGGCATCCATGAAGTGGACAATATACCCCTTCCAAAAGCGATGCCCTAACCCCTGAGATCTTTCTTCAGCAGTGGTCTTTTTTTGTTCACTTTTTTCTATTCATTTTGAAGCACACAAGTCATGTACTGCACTGGGAGATTGAATAAAGATTGACATTTATATAGCCAGTTTCATGTTTCTATTCCACTGATCCTTCCTGAGAGTATTTAAGTAAATTGTTCCACGGTGATGGTGAAACTTGATTTACTGTTAGTGGGTGCACATTCAGGTTACTTATCTTTCTTTCCTCTTCTGAGATTTTACTCCTTCCCCTCCCTACTCCCAAGTTTTCTTATATGTGGGAAAACTGGTACTATATTTTCTAGATGGCAATGCGCTGTCATCCACTCTTGTAATTAAAGCTCAACAAACACTGGGCAAGTGTTTCATGCTAAACATACAGTGTCTCCTTTATTTTTCCAAAGATGGTTCCCACTGTTTGCTGTATAAAACAATAATCAGTTTTTCAAAGACTTAATTTGCTTTTGTTGTACTTTGTTTCAGTCTAATCCAAGTGAAAGGTGAAAGAAAGGATTTTCAAGTAGAATGGATTTTAAAATGCTAGTGTCACTTTTAACTCAGCTGGCCATGGTTCTGTTACTGGGAAAGAATATTCTCCTGCTGGAACAGTGGGCTCATAACTAATTAAGTATTTTAAATGTAAACTGATGTATCAATTGTATGATTTTTCTTAATTGATGTGTCCATACATTTAGAAGTACATGAAAGCAGTTCAATGAGAAATAAAATGCAGCATTTTTTGTAAATCTTTGAATTACTTTCAACTAGCTAGAGCTTTGTTTCCATGAGAATAATCAGTGATCTGTCTAGGCTCTAGATGATACTTCCATATAAAAACAGAACAGCCTCAGATAATTACCATGTGGCTGATACTTGCAGTCTGCCCAGAAGTGATTCTTCTGAGAATAATTTTCATTGAGACTGCTTCCCTACTTGAATTTGCATTGAATGAGTTAACCATTTAAGATGCTCTGTTTGAGTGCTTATGTTTTGTTTAAATAAGCTTGAAAAAAGATTCTTTGAAGTAGAAAGATGGATGTGAACAAGATTGTGTGCAGACGGTATTCCTTGTGTGGCATGGCATAACACCTAAGTGCTCAGTTGGGAAAGGTAAGTGACAGACCTAACTCTTTATTTGTTGAAGATTTTTTTGGTCTTGCCTCTGTAGTGTGTTTGAGAATGTTAGTCTCTTCCCTAAGGAGTTGTGAGTGTTAAAGACAGGGTATTGCCATCTTACTGAACAGGTGAGAACTGGATTAGACTGAGACTTGCTTCATGTCACAGTAGACATTTGCAGCTCCAGTGCCTTAACTCATCCTGCCTCTTAAGGCTGCCCTTAAATCTAATTCTTAACTGAAGTCCCATCAGGCTTTGTAGTTCAATTCTTTCCAGAATGAGTTTAATTATCAGCTGGTTTTGTTGTAGTTGTGGCTGCAATGGCTTTTATTTAAGGCCACTGTCATAGAACTCTCTGAAACATTTTGCTAAAATTTACTTTGTCTTTTAAAAACCTTTTCAAACTTCTTTACACTAAGAAAAGTCCCCAGCCTGATGACTTTCTCTTGGCAGCTCACACTTAACGTGAGTGGAGCCTGACTGCTCCAGTTCTGCGATTGAAATCTCACCCCTTCATGTTGCATTAATGTATTTGTTTAGCTTAATATGCAGCATCTCTAATTTATTTTACCACTGATGTTGAGTGTTTTTGCAGGTTTCTTGTCTCTCTCTTCAAAGTCATCATTGCAGAGTGGCTGAGCTGATGTGATATTTTTGTCACTGCATATCAAAGTAGTAATGCCTCCTTATTGGAGGTATTCGTTATTTCAGACACCAGAACTGGGGCGTGGTGCAAAAGATTATGTGAGTCTGGCAGGGAATCTGCCTGGAGTTTTTATTGGCACCTATTTGCATGCAGGTGATTAATAAACATAAAACAATTATTCCCTTGCAAACACCCTTGTTGGATTTAGGTCGGAGTGGCACATATGTTTTGCCTGAGGGCAGGGCCCAGGATCTGCATCCCCCATTGAGTGAAAGATCCAAGGGGTTGCATCAGAAGCCAACAACCTCCAGGAATGAATAAATACAGACCTTTATTTCAAACCGGTAGAACAAAAGAATGGGCCCACAATGAGATTGGGCTGTAGCCTCTAATGAAGTAGATTTTTTTTTTGAGGACTTTCCAAGAATTTGCACTTTTTAAGGAAAGGTGTGATACTTTTGCTGTATAACTTTGGATTGTTTTAAGGGTCTGCAGTGCTGATCTTTAAATTCAGAAATGTTCGGCTTCCATTTTTGGCAATAGTATATGGAATCTGTTTGAAAAAATCAATGTTTTTAAGTTTTCCATTTGCATTACTTAAGGAAAAGAAAACTTCTTACCTGCTTCAAGTTTAGGCCTAAAGCTTTTGGAAACCATATTTTGTGTAGAATCCAGGAATCCCTTTTGGAAAGAATTTGCCTTTCCATTTGAAAAGCATCTGTATTTATCACGACAGACCTCTCTTTCAAGAAGAAATCTCTGAAAGAATTAAGCACTGCAAGAAAGTACTGCTTTCTACTAGTAAGTTTTTTGGTTCTTCATAGTATAAAAAATGAATGTTGTAAACCAAGGGTAATGTATTCCTAGGGCATCGTAGCCATAGTGAGCTGTTCTGCTTTGCTTCGGCTGGTAATTCTGACCACATGTTTACTACCAAAGCCTCAGGGCCTAAAGAGTTAACAAGGCACTTTTTCTGGTCTTAGGTTTCCTGTTTAAAGATGGTCTCCTCCTGAGCACTGTGCCAGTAACAGATCATTGCACCAGCTCATCTCTTCGAGAGCTTGGGGTTTGCTCTGAGATCAGTTTACAAGGGAACAGAGCCTCTGTGCCTTAGGCTGTTACATTGGGAGTGCTTTGCTGAAAGAAGTATGTGAGTGTAGGTGCAGTGCTTGTAGGTCTTTTTCTCGGTGTTAATTGTACCTTTTCATGGAAGAAAAAACTGCATTTTGTTGTAGACTTTCATGCGTACTAGAAACATTGGCACAGAGGAGGTCATCAGTACCCAGGTAGCTGGCTGGCATAGTTGTACTTAGCACAAGTTTGTAGTGTCGTCAGGGCAGTTCTGCAGTCCTAAAAGTGACCAGAGAACTCCCAAGTCGTCTTGAGTGATGAAGCTTCTCCCCACATGGGGTGGCAAGTGACAGCCGAGCACAGGCATGCAATTAAAAATTGAAATGGCTGGAAGGTAAAAACTACTTCCCCTGTTGCTGTATTCAGCTTTAGGTGGAGCTGCTGGTGGGGAAGAACACCCCAGATTGGTTCACCTACGTGCTTCCCAAAAGGTTCTCCAGTCCAAGAAGTCCATGACCCCGTTCGGTTAAACCAAGAGACACTGCAGCAAGAACACCCCAGATTGGTTCACCTACGTGTTTCCCGAAGGGTTTTCCAGTCCAAGAAGTCCATGACCCCGTTTGGTTAAACCAAGAGACACTGCAGTCGTGGGTATGCGAAAAGCCTTGGGCAGGGACTGCTTTTTTGTGTAAAGCCCTCAGCAGGTGTGCTTGTAGAAATTGGTGAGCCAATGTAGAGACTACACAGCAATAGAAGAGTCAGATACAGAAATAAAGCATGTTTGGAGCAATCCTACAGAGTATTCTCAGCAGTCTTTGAGTTTGACTTCTGTTCATGGCAAAGTGATGAAACAGTGGCTGGCAGAAACTTTGTTTGCAACACAGTGGAGCTGTCACTTTTCAGAGTAAAGACGTAGGAGCAATGGGGAGAGATCAGGCTAGACTCTCCCAAGGATGTGTTTTCATTTGCTCTAGTCTCTAGTTCTGACAGTAGGTTCCTATGAGAAGTATTAGCTGATGCCAGGGCTGACATTATGGATTATGTTCATAGTGCTTAGGATTTGGTTAATTCCATTTTCCAGTCTGAAGCAGGGACAGAACATTCCTTTTGTATAAAATAGATTGACATCTAAGGAAGGAAAAAAATCTCTAACTATGCTACCTGTGAAGCACTGTACATACTGTCTGTAAGGAAAAATAAATCTATCTTACTCGCAAAAGGTTTACCCTTCAAGCCATCTTTAGTTCCTCTTCTTTAAAGGTTTAACCTTATACAGAGTTTCCATGTGTTGTTATCAGTCTGTCATCAACAGTAAGTGCAGGAAATTTTCATGGGAACACTGATCAAAATAAACAGAGGTAAGTTGTTTTAACAGATTTTTAAAAAAAAAAAACAAAATGGAAATGGTAGGATTAAAACATGCAACTTCTTTACTTTCTGTGCTCTTGACTATGTGGTTTGAATCTCTGTGCACTCCTGACTTGCTGAGGACTACGTTAAAAAATAAGTTAGTTGTCTTGAAAATGTAAAGTGACAGTTTAAGTGTTTTGTTTCTGTGCTAATGTGCAATTAGGTAGTTATCCAATAAGCTTATTCATGTAGTCTAACTCAAGACAGCTGTGGAAGGAATAGAGAAAACCCTTTGCTGTTGAGAAATGGTCAGAGGGGAAAGGATGTTTAAAAGGATCTGTCTCGGAATTGCCAGTTGGTTCTTTTTCCCCATGTAATATAGTAAAGCATTAAAGGTTAGCAAGGTTTGTGAAAAATTGAATTCTGCTGACTAAATCTATAGAGAGGTGAAACTAAAATGTGGATGGATCTGGATACCAGCAAATGTAGTCTAAGTTTTGATCTATAAATTAACTCTAAGGCAGCCATACAAGGTGGGGCCAACCTAATAATCTAATTGTCTGAAATGATGACTTGGCTAAGTGTATTTTGATTTGGGTAAAGCAACTTTTGCTTACTAGAGGCTTCCTTGATGTCATCAAATATTTCTAGTGTTTACGCATAAACATGAAAATAGTGCATCTCCTTTGGTTCTTTTACAGAAGACAAAGCGGGCTCCATCGTGTTTTGTGTCAGTATTTTTAGGGTTATTGTCAGTATCCTGCTACAGTACCACCAAAATGCCTCTGAGCTTAAGTGATGCTTGATCTCCTCTTGCTAAATGTTGCACTCGAAATGCAACAGATGCCATTACCCTGCTACCAGAGCTCTTTGGTTTGTGGAGAAAACTTGTGCGTCCCGCCAGCTTCTTCCATTCAGCAGAGGGCA